ATATATACACACAGTATACAATATACAATTTATGTATGTATGTCTTTGTATATATGAAAATATTAAAAAATAAAACACCACTATGCATTTCCTGAATATTCTCAAGGGAAAAGTCAATACAAGCATTTGAAAAACAATGAATATTAAAATAACAAAACTATACTTACATTCGAATGACAAAACACAGAAAAAAATCATTTACTAAAGAAATAACAAATAACAGACTCTCTCACTGCCTCACTCACTCACTGCCTCACTCTCGCACTGCCTCACTCACTCACTGACACACACACACAAAAAGAAATAACAAATAACAAAGCAATAAGCCTCATTTGGGACTACAGTCCTTCACGCATCAACTCCTTACTCTGAAAGAATTTTGCAATGATCCCGTCTTTCCTGTAGGAAATGTAGTCAGGATAATCAAATAGGGCCAGTTGGCAGGTGTAGCAGAATTGCAGACAGGAGCAAGTGTGTCAGATGATAGGATTGCTGCAGAGATCACCAGTTCCTCAACTCTGCAGATGTTGCAGGAGTAGCTTATCTCGAACTTTAGTTCTTTTTCTTCCGTATTATTTATTGAGCTGGTCATCAAAATCAGAGTTTAAAATCGTGTCGTTTTAATTTAGTTGACATGTTTTATTACAGTTATTTATTTTCATTTTCTGGTGACATTTTAACCAAATTAATAAAATGATAGAGTTCCAGTCTTTCTATTTGATGAATATGGTATCATCAAATTCAATATTTAGAGTTTTTTTCTTTATCAAGGGCTTCATTACATCATTAAATTTTTTATAATGGTTAAGTTTGCATTATGACATTAAATCAGACCTTACAGATACTTTTAAACTATCCCAGAATACTTACAGATTTAATGTATTATTAAAATCTAAGTACTAAGAGATCATTACATTTAATATTGTTTATATGAACTTCAGAATTAATAAAAAACATAGGTAATCTGTATATGGAAAACATATATTATTAGATACTAAGTACAATGTGAAATCTCCATACATTTATAACTTTAGATTTTTCTCTCAGAGGATATAATTTATTAATAGAACCAAGCATCAATGAGGCTGGCTGGAATCACAACAGGATCCTGGACAGAGCCGGAGAAATATGTAGAATAAAAAAATAAAATTCACAAGAAGGATCAGAATTCCTGGTCTGACAGAGGTTGGAGAAATTCTCAAGGCCGGGGCCCTAAGCCACCTTTCTGACTTGGAACTGAAGTAATTCCAAGAAACCATCTTCCCTCTAAACAACAGAGAGGCCCATAAAATAAACAATAATATCCAAGAGGATTGCGGTGTTCCTTCAAATGATCAGTTATGTGAGTTCTCAAAGATCTTGGCCAAAAGTAAAGATGAGAAAAGCCAGGAAGGGGTAGAAAATCTGGATGAAAGGAAACAGGTAATCTAGAATAGGAAAAGGGAGAGTGTTGACATGTACATTGTGGGAAATGCAGCCAATGTCAATGAACACTAGGTATAAACTCTTAACTGGGAATCAAATTTGCTCAGCTTAAAAAATTAAGGAAAAAAAGAGAATCTGGCTGGTAATGGCAAATAAGTTTTTTAATGATGTAGTAACACTGCATCCACAGACATTTTATAGTGTTTTGGATCACTGCGGGCAAGCATTTTGGGCCCCAGTATGCCAATAAGCAGAGCTCCATTTGGAGCTGTGATCAAAATGGCTAAGAATGCTAATGTCATCACGTTCTGTGCATATCCTTCCAAATGCCGGTGTCCGCCGTTTCTTGCTGTTTCCAGAGCCAGAGGACCTAATACAGCCTGCATTTGAGGGCAGGGGAGCGGGACATAAAGAAAGATTTTAAACAGAGTTAGCATGTAATTAAAGTAAATGGCTCTGTTAGAGCAAACTAAGCTAATTACTACAGTATTAGGAAAAAAAGTCCTGAGTATTTATAATGAGATACCCATAAGTTCTATGCTCTACCTACTAAATATATTTAGAAAAAGAGTGCAATAGGGACAATTCAGTGTGCAGACATATGGGGGTTGGTTTTTAACTTGGACCCTCTCAGTGTCCTTGCACTTCCGCACATTTTTCTTGGACGCACACAGTGTCCTCAGAAGCTCAGAAGTTGTGACTGAACCAGGTAGTTGTCTTCACCACGTGACTCTAGGTCCTTGGCAACAGTAAGAGAAAACAACCTAAAATAGCAAGGCCTGAGGTTCTAGGATTTGTTGCTCTACTTCTCATTGCCATACATCAAAGGCAGTATGATATAGGTACTTGTGAGGATTAAATAGGAGAACACAAGGAACACCTGGCTCACAGTAGATCTTCATATAATAGAATGAGTTTCTGAAATTTCGTCCCCTCCCCCATGTCATTCCATCTCTCCTGACAGCCAGAAGAGACAAACAATGGTAACATGTAATACTGCAAGACCCTAAATGTCGTTTGCTTTGGGTTGGAACTTCAAATGGATAAAACTTTCAGGTATAACTCAATATGGTATTTTAATAACTTCTACCAAAACCAAGCCCACTGCTATCAAATTGATTCAAACTTATAACAACCCTATCGGGTTTCTAAGCCTGTAAACTTTTTATGGGAGCGGATAACCTCGTCTTTCTCCCGATGAACAGCTGGTGTGTTTGAACCACCAACCGTGTGGTTAGCAGTCCAACCTTACCTGACTATGCCATCTGTGGTACCTGAAATTCTCAGATACTAATAGTTACTGTTCTCCAGTGGCCAGAATGAGCAGATTATATAAAATAAAAATAAACACAGGCATATAAATCAGAGCATAATGACTCACCGCCTTTAAAAACATACCCAAAGGACCTATTAGAAAACAGTCTAAAACAAATATCCTGATATAAGTGATAGGGATCGGAGTGGAGACCCAAAGCTCATCTGTAGACAATTGGATGTTCCCTCACAGAAGGGTCACAAGGAAAGAAGGTGCAGCATAGTACAGACAGAACACAACATTCTCTAGTTCTCTAATGCTTCCCCCCGCCCCACACTATTATGACCCCAGTTCTACCTTACTTATCTTGCTAGACCCTAGCATGTACACAGATACAGATAAGAACTTTCTATACACGGAATCCAGGACAGATAAACCTCTCAGGAACAGTAATGGGAGTAGCGATACCATAAGGGTAGGGGGAAGGCGGGGGTGGAGGGGGGGTGGGGGGTGGGGTGTGTGTGTGGAAACGGAGAGACATATAAACATTCCCCTCCCCAGGGGGACCAACAACAGAAACGTGGGCAAAGGGAGACAGAGGACAGTATAAGATAGGAAAATAATAATTTGTAATTTATCAGGAGTCCACAAGGGTGGGGGGAGGGGAAAGAGGAATTGATACCAAGGGCTCAAGTAGAAAGAAAATGTGAAAATGATAATGCCAAATATGTACAAATGTGTTTGATACAATGGATTGTTACAAGAGCTGGAAGAGCCCTCAATTAAATGGTTTATTAATAAAAAGAAAGAAAACAGTATAGAAATTTCTTGAGGCTTGTTTTGCCTCAAGAATGCAGAGTGAAGGCATTTATTAAAAAAACAGCTCAATGTTCCTCAGTTTCGGAATTTATGTTTCTATTTCCAGTTGCCATAAAGCTAGTTTCTTGCTCCTGGCGACCCTACGTGTGTCAGACAGAAGTTTACCCCAAAGGTTCCAGGGGCGGATGTTTTATTTATTAAAAAACATTTTATTGAGGGCTCTTACAGCTCTTGTAGCAATCCATACATCAATTGGATCAAACACATATGTACATAGGTTGCCATCATTATTTTCCAGACATTTATTTTCTATTGAGCCCATGGTGCCAGCTCCCTCCCACCCTCATGGCCCCTTGATAAATTATAAATTATTATTTTCATATCATACCGACTGCTCTCTCCCTTCCCCCACAGTTTCTGTTGTTCACCCCCCTGGGCCAGGGTGGGGGGTGGGGGTGCGGTTATGTGTTGATCATCGGGATTGGTTCCCCCTTCCTCTCCTCCTTTCTCCACCTTCCCCCTGCCCTCTTGGTATGGATACTTCCATTCCTGTTCCAGGATTCCGTGCGTCGTGGGCTCCTATGTCTTATCTGTACCTGTACACATGCTCTTGTCTAGCCCGCAGTGAAAGGCAGGACTGGGGTCATGATGGTGGAGGGTGAGGAAGCCTCATGGAACCAGAGGAGTGCTGTGTGTTTCAGCGCTGCTTTACTGCAGCCTGGTTGCACTAAATGCACATGGCCAGGCCTGTCTATTGAGGGACCTCTGCGAGAGCTTGAACCATTGAATCAGTGCCATCCAGGGACTCATACATCAAATATTTTATTTTATTATTTTAAGATCATTTTCTTGGGGACTCTTACAGCTCTTATAATGATCCACATATCCATTGTAGCAAGCATATTTGTACATTTGTTGCCATCATCATTTTCTAAACATTTACATTCTATTTCAGTCCTTGGTGTCAGCTCTTCTCTTTACCCTCCCTCCCCCCCTCCTGCCCTCATGACCCCTTGATAAATTATTATTTTCATATCTTACACCGACCGTTGTTTCCCTTCGACTGCGGGTTTTTCCTCATCGAATATTTTAAGCAGTCAGTATCCAATTACATGAGTCTATTGTTTTCAAGAGAATGTCGTCCTCTAAATTATTCATATGGAATTTCTTCATATTGTACTAGAAACCCCCTCATTTTAATTGATTACAGAATTTAGATAGAAGAGAGATAAGGATAACAAAGATTTTCAGCTACAGAATTTGGATCGAAGAGAGAGAGATAAGGATAACAAAGCTTTTCAGAAAGATGAACGAGGGATAAAACTGAATATATAATATGAGAAAGCTTCCAAAGTAAGTGGAAAAATGAAATTGAAAGGTAATGGTGTTTTTTTTCCACAAACTTTTGAAGCTCCCTCATATAACTTATAGTTTCATAAATGACAAAATAATTTATCTGGAACATAGATATCTGACTTTTCTAGCAGTATTCATTCTTTAAAATATATACATTTTTCTATAAATAATTTAACGTTCACATTATTGATCAAGGAAAAACAATAGTGTGCCAAATTGTACAACATGATGAAGGATTAAATATAAAAATTTAGGTGAAAATTCTTTTCTAGTGTCCCTATTAAAAATACCTTATAAGGAAAGAATTCACCAACATTTATTCATCATTGATTTAGCTATATTATTAATTTCAAATAAGTTAGCCTTTTTTTGTGATCCAATGACCTTACTGATCTCCCAAACTCTGATGAAGCACAATATTATTGTCTACAATCTACAACCTGGCAAATCATTTTGAGTTTTATTTTTAATTATTAGTGTTGTCATTAAACCTTGTCAGTTCTTTATTTGAAATCTATCAAAAACATTCCTGTTCCTTCTGTCTTTTACCAAAACCCAATTTTAGACCAAACTCACTGCTATCGTGTTAATTCCGATGCACAGTGAACCTGTATGGCAGAGAAGAGGTTTCCAAGACTATGAATCTTTATGAGAGTAGAAAGTCTCATCTCTCTCCCACGGAATAGCAGGTGGTTTCAAAGTGACTTGCCTCCATTGTCCAGTACACTGTTTTACATAGATCAGTACACATGGGCCTTGTGGATGGATACATTTTGGCTAAATCTTCATAGTTGCTATTCCCCATCCCACCTATGCTAAACTATTGAACGATTTCATGCCTTCTTGGTGGTGTGGTGGTTACATGTTGAGTTGCTAACCACAAGGTCAGCAGTTTGAAACTACCAGCTCCTCCAAGGGAGAGAGCTGAGGCTTTCTACTCCTGTAAAGAGTTACAGTATCCAAAACCTACAGGTGCAGTTCTACCATGTCCTACAGGGTTGCTATGAGTCATAATTGATTTGATGGCAGTGAGTTGTTTTGGTTTTTTGCTGTTGATGTTAGGGAAGTTTAGCACTTGGACTTGAAGAGTTTGAGATGAACGATTTAGTGTGTTTTCTTTTTATAGAAAGAGAACATTAAGATTCTTTATTGTTTTAGGGTTATGTATTGTGGTAGTTACATAATCTGGTGTTAACTTGAGAGGATTAGGAGTGAAGGGGTAGAGTCTGGCCTGTCAATCAAGATATAACCAATGAGGCCTCTGTGTGGGCATGGCCTTCCCCTGAGGATTCTGGGAATTCCTTGGAGGTAGGAGACAGTCTCTCTCTCTCTGGTCACTATGCTGATAGACCCTGTGACCTGGGAACTGGAGGAGCCATGTGGAGACCCCCGCCAGCACTGAGATGCTTCTACCGCCACTGGATCCACAAGACTTTGCACTCACTGGCTTGTGATCTTCCTACATTCGGCATCACTGCATGTGTTTCGTGAATCTGAAGGTATTTATAGAGTCATACCGGACATAAGGGCTAATATTAGACTTACGGATTTGATCTGGACTGGGCTGGGATGTTCTCTCAATATTCAATTGCTCTTGTATATAAAGCCCTTTCCTATATACATATGAGTGTCTATGAATTTTTTTCTCTAGTCTACCCAGACTACACATGTATATAAAATGCTACTGGGTCACAGCATGTTTTCTCTAGATAGTTCATATTAAAAACATAAATATTTTAAATAATATAAAGCATATTTCTCGCTTTCCCTTTTTCTTAATATTTACTAATAAAAGCATAACATTGTCTTAATATTTCTAGTGGTTAAGTACAAATATTTATCTTTTATTAAGCTCAAAGTTACCGCATAATGTTATAAACATTACTTCTGATATGGAATATGTCAACAACAGATGTCGTCAATTTAAGATTAGCTTCCTAAAACCATGTC